AGGAGTGTGTGATTCTCACGGTCTGAGCTGGAAGGTCCCTGGGGACTGCAGTGCTTCAGGAGGCTTCCTGGAGGAGACTGAAGGAGAGGGGGTGGGGGCAGCTGGAGGGGAGAGGTCTCTGCCAGGTGGGTGTTGCCTCCTGTCCACCCTGCCTGCTCCCTACACCCGGACACAGCTGCCCTGCAGTGCCTTCCAGAGAGCGCCAAGGATCAGTGAGAACAGCTTGGTCAGGCAAAACTTCCCAGGCCTGTGGGTCACGCTGCTCTGGAAAGTTTGGCTCTGGTAGCTTCCTCCAGAGGCTGGCCCAGCTCTCAGCTGCCTGGGGCTGCAGCTCAGATCACCCAGGGGCCACCCTCTGCGGCTAGAACCAGATGCTCTGTGGCTCTCTTGCCCTGGAATACCCTCCTCCCATGACCTTGCCTTTATCCTAGTTCAGTTTAGGTGTCCCCTCGTCCAGGAAGCATTTTCTGAGCCCCATGGGTTGGGTTAGGACCTCAGAATATCTAAACCTATGCTGACCAAAAGAAATACAGTGTGAGCCACACACATGAGCCACATATGTAATTTTAGATTTTCTAGTAGCCACATGAAAAAAAAAGAAACATGAAATTATTCTAACGATATATTTTATTTAACTCCGTACATCCAAAATATTGTTTAAATTCAAAAATTATTAATGAGATATATTACATTCTTTTTTATTGTCTTAAAACTTCAAAATCTAGTGTGACCTTTATACTTATAGCAGATCTCAATTTGCATGAGCCACATTTCCAGTACTCAGTAGTCACATGTGGCTAGTGGCTACCATAGTGGTCAGCACAGTTCTAGAAGCAGGGAGAAGCGCACAGGGGTTGAAGCTCAGGGACTGGCATGAGACAGACCCGGCAGTCACAGCCTGGCCCTGCTACTTATTTGCTGGGCAACCTTTGGGAAGTTGTTAACACCTCTGAGCCTCAATTACTTCAGCTGCTAAAGAATTTAATAATTTTAATGCCAGAGAATTGCTATAAGGATTAAACCAATGAATGTGTGTCTAGTGCCAGGCACAGAGAAAGTGCTCAGAAAATGGTGGTGATTCATCTCACAGTACCCTCTGACATGCTGGTTTATGTGCCATTCTCCTCCACTGGACTGATTGTGAATTCAAGGACAGAGACTACCCGCTTCCTCTCGCCTTCCCCAGTGCCCAGGGCCTGGCTCAGTGTGAACATCACTGCTTGCCCTGGGCTAGGAGTGCTTGCCACCCCACTCTGCCCACCCAGGAATCAAGGGGCCCCTGGTGGCTGGGAGTCATCAGACCACTGACTACCTGGAGTGACCTTGGCAGAGACCACTGACTATCTGGGGTGACCTTGGCAGGTCGCTGCTTTGCTCAGGTCCTTGGTTTTCTCCTTCAAAAGATAAAAGGGGGCTGGGAGGGGCCCTGCCTGAAGTGTTTGGTTTAGTCTCTGCCCCACCAGTGGCCTTGTGGGACTGTGGCTGACACCCTGCACTTTGCCTTCCCAGCCAATAGAGCGAATCACCTCCGTCCTTCTGGCTTTCCTGTATCCTGGCACTTTTACACCATCAAGTTCTCTCCAGTTAAAATTTAAGAGAAAAGAATTTCTCCTACCTCCTAGGCAGACCAGAAAGGGGATGAGGGGTACTGTCCCTTCTTTTCTGCCAGCGTTTGCTGACCTCCCATCACAGCAACCCAGTAACAGTAGGGTAGGAAGAATTTCTCCCATTTGGTAGGTGAGAAAATGGAGGCTCAGAGAGGTCAAATAATCTGCCTAAGTAACACAGGAAGAAGCGGTGGAGCCAGGGCTGGAAGCAGAATTCAGAACGAAGGGAACTGAAGAGGCTCTCTTCATTGCGTGAAGAGCATTTCATGCTGGCCTCCTAGCATTTCTCCAAGGGGCTTTCATGAGATATGGCCCTGGGTTGAGTCCTGTCCCTGTGCCTCAGTTTCCCTGCCTAGGGAATGAAGGTTTCCAAGTAATTGGAGAAGTAATTTCAACTGATGCCTATAAGGCGCTGTGTGTTCTTCAGAGTGCCCCTAACCAGATTTCTCTGGAAAAGGTTATCACAGGGTAAAGTGCAAAGTGTCTGGTCCAGAGAGCCAGTGTTACTGTGGGAGTGAAACCATGGACAAGTTATCACCACTCTGGCCTCAGTCTGCCTATTTATAAAATGGGGGATGACATTATCTCACAAGATGCTGTGAAGATCGCACACGAAAGTACTTTGCAAACCAGAAAGTGCTAATAGAAATGTTATTCAATAATAATAATAATAATAGAAACAGAAATAATGATAATAGTAGAAGAAGCCCAATTTTCTATGTGGTCCCACTGACCTGAAGGGAATTGAGCCCTCTGGGTATAAATCCAGAATGATGTCTGGGAATGTCCTGCCTTGGTCTTTGGAATGTAGCCTGGATTTTTCTGGGAAAGTGAAAGTCTCCATCTAGCTGAGGATGGTGGGAAAGTGGCCCTGCCCCAGGGAAGGAAAGGGGAGGGCTGCTGCCTGGGGAGGAGGGTCCAGGGAAGGAGAGTTGAATTAGGAGGAACAGAGGGCTTTGCCATGCAGCTCTGTTCTGCCCACAGGAGCCCAGGGTTGGGAAGGCTCATGAGCAGAAGAGGCTGAGTCAATTTGGAATAAAAATACTGGAAGGCAAGAATCTCTTAGCAGACGTGCATGAGAAACAATCAGTTCATCTGGTGTAACTCCTAAGTTTTGCTGATCCTTTTACTCATTCATTTGAATAAATGTGTAGTGAACTGAACTCAAACTGAGCATTTGGAGTGGCAAAGTGACTTGCCCAAGGCCATGCCCCTCAGGGCCTGGGGAGTTCCTGAGAGGAGCTGAATTTGGAAGGCTGGGGAATGAAAAATCCAAAAGCAAAGGAAGAAATCTGTAAGGAAATCTGCCCAGCAGGACTCTGGTCCTTCTGCGAATAGGCTCTGAGCTGATTTGTCCATCTTCCTGTCTCCTGTCTGGAGGGAGGACGTGTTCTCTGGGACTAGGAGGAGTGGCTTCCTTCTGCTCTCTGCTGTCTGACCACTCCTGAGCCTAGTGGGTAGCAGGGAGAGTGAAGGGACCGGAAGCTGTGTCTTGGGAACATCTGGTGAAGGAGTCCCTCGTGTTTAAGTTGGAGAAGAGAAGGCTTTGTTTGGGAGTGGGGAGAAGGGACACTGGCTATCTTGGGTTCTCTGAGGGATGCTGGGGAGAGGGTATCACCTCGTTCCGTGGAGGCCCTAGGGTTGGTACTAGGACCTAGGGTGGAAGGTCACCGTGATGGAGCAGCCACCTTGGGAGGGAGGAGTGGAGGGAGGGAGTGGCCTGTCCCTGGAGTGTGGGAGTAGAGATAGATACTGGGAGTAGAGATGGATACTGGTGAGGGTGATACTGAGGGAACTGCAGCATGGGGTGACGGATGGCTCAGCTCACATCTGTGCTGCTTCCCAGCTTTGGGCCTCTGTGGTTTCCAGTGTGGTGGATTCCGTGGTGCCTAAAATAGTGGCTGGCACATAGTTTGTCCTCACGAATTATTTGAAGAATGAACGAATAGATGTGTATGCCTGAGGGGAGTTAGGGAATAGGGGTCATGTGGACTGCAAACGTGGAGCAGAAATCTTTAGGCAGAAATCTCTGGAGATCATATTGTGGGTTACCCACCATCTTCTCCAGGCCTTCTCCACAAACCGAGACCCCTAGAAATAGGATGTCCAACCCTTTCTTTCACTGTTCCCAAACTGAGGCCCAGAGCAGGAGAGCAACTCTCCCAAATGTACTGGCCGACCCCTGGCAGAGCTGGACTGGAGCCCAGGCCCTCTGCCTCCCAGAGTCCTCTGCCGTTGGAGGTTCTTGCTTGCTGATCAAGTGAGGTGGAGGTGCGATGGTCGGGACCAACCTTTTGAGTTAGTGCTGGAGGGGAGGAAGAGTGCTTGGCTTAGTTTTGAGCAATGACCTCGGTGCCACAGGCCCCTTGCTCCCCACCCCCCACCCCC